CTGCTGCAAAGAGAAGTTTCCTTATAAGGGTGAAGACTAGGGTTATCTGTAGGCATCCGGACAAATATTTGCAGTGAAGTAAGGATGGTTTAGGAAAGTGATGGCTGTAGGTTCTCCGGCAAGAGTCAGGATTTCACTAGCCCTGGGCAGTTATCTGGTTTCCAGCATCAGGCACGATTTCCCTCTTGTGAGTGGGTCTTACGTCTATTTAGGGAGCTGTCGGTGACTGCTGAGGTACGCGCGTCATCACTGCACCCATGGAGGGGTCGTGTTCTGCTGACTGTTGTTATGGGTCGTCAGTGCTGAAGCTGGATAGGACTGTTGGATGCTTCCTTCCTTTGGAAGTTTTTGTGATGCCTTCGGGTACCATGAAGGCTAGTCCTCAGGGAAGAGGATTTCAGGTCAGTTCCGGCTCAGGGACATCTGGGCCCTGTGTCGGAAGCAACAGCAATAGTCTGTGATGTGTTGGGGATCTCTTGGACAACCCCGACCAACAGTTCAAAGGAGGCTTCTCATGCCTGATGTGGGGGTTCTGCTAGATGGTCTTTGTCAGCTTTGTCAGCCTAGATGGGAAATTTTCGTTTAAAGTGTATATGTTTACCGAAACAATGATTGTGTATTTCAGGTATTTTTAGGTAGATAGTCAATATCGTGATTCCTTTTGACTTTTTTCCAGACACCTTTACCTTTCTGTCCCTCCCTAACTAGAAACCTCCCCGCCCCCACTTTGCTGCTCAGACCATAGTGCGCTGCTGTTCTCCTCTCTGGCTCCCCCAGCCCCACCATGCCAATGGTCCCTTAATACTTTTCTGGGTTTTACAGTTATCCCAGGCTATGCATGCACATCTGAAGATTTGGAACTAGGAGCTCCAGATGAGAGAGGACATGGGACATTTGTCTTTCTGGAACTGGGTTACCTCACTCAATATGTTCTTTTCTAGTTCCATCCATGTAGCTGCAAAGTTCATGATGTCATCTTTCTTTACTACTGAATAGTATTCCACAGTGTATGTGGAATTTTTCACTATCCGTTCTTCTGCTGAAAGACATTAAGGTCAATCTCATTTCCTATCTATTGTGGATAGAGCAGCAAAGCAAATATCTGTGGAGTCCTTTGTGCACATGCTGAGGGGTGGTACATCTGGGTCCCGTGGTGTCTGGCTGCTCAAAACCACTGAAAAGGCAACAGAAATCTGCCCTCCCTGGTTTTGAAATATGCTCCTGCCCCTTTGTTTCCCACTGTGTGATTTAAAAATTATACCTTGTACAGTAAACTGCAAGATCTGTGTCAGCATTCTGAGCTGAATATAAGTGAATATATGGGGGGAGAGAGAAGGAAAAGGGAGGGAGCACCAAATTGTCTCAAAATAATTAGTATCCATTAGTATCCATGTTGGTGGAGGGAAATGTAAACGTGCAAAGCAAAAGAGATGGTTTTGTTTCCATTAGCATCAGGTTTAAGGATAAGACCGTCAGGGGACAGGCAGAATTCCTGGAGTCCCTTGGTCAGCCAGTCTAGTTCAATCAATGATCTCAAGTTTAGGGACAAAAAAATAAGGCGATAAGCAATAGAAGAAGACACTTGACATCATCCTCTGGCTGCAACATGCATGCACTTATGTATGTATGCACACACACAGGCACACCTGCATGCATGTACAAATACATACACAGTACATTCGAAATCTTAAAAAAAAAGATTAAGACTTCTACCCCATCAATAAAAATAGATGCACAGAAACTCTTGTCTTACCATGGCAACTCTGGATGTGATGTTATATTAAAAACCCATAGTGCACTGTTAAGTTAGACGTATTTGCAAGGAGCACACACTTAAACATGAGTTTTAAAGGGCAGCATATTCTAGTCTCCAAAACATTTAGCAAATAACCTTTGAGTTCACATGAGCCACCCACACAAAAACCAAAATGAACTAGACAGAAAAAAAAATCGCAAAAGCAACTGTCTGTTGACAACCAGATTTTCTTTCAGCCCTTGAGTTTTTGTCTATAAATAATCTGTGTGTTTCGAGTCTGACCATTGTCTTTTGTGGCCCCTCCTGACATGTTCTCAGTTCAGTGTGTCTTAAAACAAATATTAAATGTGTAAATCATGGAAACTATTATGTTTTTAGAGGAGAGCTGTTGGAGATACGTGCTTTTTAGATACCCATAGTGTCAAAATGAAACATTAAGATGATGTATTCTTTCTTTGGAGCATCTGTTTATCTTTTGTGAGATCTTGAGCTTGATAAATCACCAGAGATAAAAACTTCATTTTTAACTTATCGTAGATCCCAAATGCCGGGAGGAAAAATAGCACCTTGTCTTCTCTACATGAATTTACCTCTCTCCCTGCTGATGACTTACAGGGTTTTATTTGCAGAGAAAACATAATGCTCCGTTGACTGGAGAATGATGACTTTTACTCAGAAACCTGAGAACTGGAGGGAAAAAAAGAGAAACATCCATTGACAGATATGATAATTTAACCTGTTTTAATATCGGCCTGAAGTGATACAGGGTGTTAAATAGGAAAAAAAAAACCACGAGATAATTTAAAGCTAAGTTTTAAGAAGTTTTTAGTTTTATTTTTAAATTTGAATGTATTTGTGTGTTCTGTGTGAGTGTACACCACATGTGTGCGGGTGCCTGAGGAGTCCAGAGGTGCCAGATCCTCTGAGCTGGAGTCACAAGTGGTTGTCAATCACCAGATATGGATGCTAGAAACTGAACTTGGATCATCTACAATAACAGCAAGGGCTTTTAACTGAGGAGCTCTCTCTATAATGTAAAGTGGGTTTTTTACCAGAATTTTACCTTCATCTGTTGACACTTAAAACCTCTGAACAGATGTAGCAGAATGGATATTGGATACTTGGTGAGGATATGATTTTGAGATGAATCCAAATAACTGATGAAGGTATCTTTTGAGATATATAGATAGATAACATATACATATATTGTATTTATTACACACAGAGAGAGTTTGTATCTCAAAATCACTACAAAATTCTCTCTTAATTGGAAGTCTGTCTAATCAATAATCCCCACAGATTTTATATATATTTTATGTATATACATTATATATACATATATACATATATATATATATATGAATATCCTTCTGTATCTAAGAGGACCACACAGAAGACTGTAGAGATGGCTTCTCAGTAGCTCTCACTGAGAACTTGAGGATCAAAGTGCGTGACTCATAATTAAGTCAATCAAAATGGCATGGCCTGAATGTTAAAACTGACTGCAGCTCTGTGGGTATAGAAGTTCCCTGCTGCAGTGAACACCCCCGGTGTCTTGCCTTGCCTTTAGTCTGTTGTTCTTCAGTCCTGAGCAGGTTGAGACACATTTAATTGCATGCCAACCCCTTCTAGGTCAGAGGCACACACTTGAGTTTTTCTGATAACTGCCACGGAGAGCTGTTTAAGGAGCTAGCTTCTGTCCTAGGCTTCAGAGGTTCCTAAAGTCCCTGGAGCACATGACCAATGGTATCTGTGGGCAGGTGACCTCAGTTTGCCCTTCTCTCTCCTCTCTTGAGAAGTATGCAAGTTGTGATAAGGAGCAGAATCAAGGCATTGCCTCCTACCATGGAACTAGACGGCCAGATGTTCTGGAGTTTCAAACCTCCCTCTGTTTTCTCACTCCAACAGCTACACAGAGAACTGGTCTTTAGACCAGGAAGCCATTCCACCTGAATGAAGCAGCATCTGCTTTCTATATCAAAGGGCTTCAGCCCCTCATGGTGGGGAAGGGATGGCAGGACAGGTCTTTCCATGGGGGCCAGGCTTGTGTAGCAGAATCTGTTCTCACCACAACAGACCAGGAACCAGAGAGTAGGGTGGGGAGGCAGGGCCAGGAATCACCCCAATGGTCTGTTTCCTTCAGTTAGACCCAACTCCAAACATTTCTAGAATCTTCCAAAATAGCACCTTGGGGGAACCAAGCATTTAAACAGAGGTCTCTGGGCAACATTTCAGATTTAAATCATAAACCTCTGCCCACCCACACAGGGTTTGTGCAGGTCAGGATAGAACCTGGCGTAGTCTATTGCTTTGCCCAGTTGGGTGGGCTAGCCTTCAGTGTTCACATGCAGGGCTCAGCTGAGATGATTGACACAGTGAAGGGCAGGCAATGTGAACCCAGCCCCCAGTCCAGCAGTAAGAGAACAATCTAGACGGGTTAGTGAGTAAAAGTCTTAGTCCCTGTCACAAGAAGAGGACTGAAGTCCAAGGATGCCAGGGGATTATGCAAACATCTTTAAAAGTGAAATAATACAGTCAAAACCCCATGCCAGGAACAAAGTCCATGTTCTCATGCTTATTTAGATAGAAGATGGTGCTCACACAGCAGACCTTTGATGAGAGCCTGGTCATGGGTACAGAGAAGAGGGCGGGTACTGTATAGAACTGTAACATGCCCAGAAACATTAAGGCTGATTAAACACCCATTAAGGCATTTTTTGTAAACCATCTTATACTTCTCTTAACCATTCTGTCAGGGAAGGTTGGTTGAGAAAAGATGACTAAATACATTTGGAGAGTCTGGGGCTTGCTTGGGTCAATATTTAGGGCCATTATCATGTTTCCACCACACAGTGAACTAATGCGTGGAGATCACTGTGGAAGAGGGTGGTTGAAAGTGGACACCCAAAGTACCAAGGCAGTTGGGATTCTCTTCATGGAGTCACTGGAGTGGGGTTAGAGCGTAGCCTCTCAGGGTGGCTCACGCAGTGGCTGAACCCAGGACTTCCTGGTGGTTCCCACGGAGGCTGGCTGACTCTAGTGGCCTTGTGATCTCCCCAGCTGACTGTGGGGAAGTCACTGCACACAGACCCCAGCCCATGCGGTGGACAGGCAGGGAACTCTACATGTCCCCAAGCAAGCATGACTAGCAGTCCATTTGTTTCCGCCATAACCACGAAGTTCCCCGTGGATGTGCTGGCAGTCCCTAGAGAGGCCACTCACCTTTCTATCTCTTCCCTTCCAGTTGTACTAGAGCAGTTCTCGCTGGCAGTGAGGCGCTGTCCCGACAAGGAGGACCAGGCTTTGCTAATGAAGGTAGGTTATCAGATAAGTCCATGTTTCCTTAAAGCCTCCTAGCATTCTGATTGCCCAGAGGAGAGTGCCGTGTTCTACAAGCGGGAGTAAATTTATCATCTCTGAATTTTGTGCTCCGTGGGGATATGCTTGTCAGTGGCTGGTGGGAGGGTGGCTGGTTAATGAGCTCAACCCCCGTCTGTGGAACACAGAAGTGACAGGAAAGTAGGTGTCGACGACGAGCAGGGAGCCTACGTGATTCTCGGTGGATTTGCTTGGTTTTATTTAAACTTATCTGACAGTCCCGACTCTTTTAGCAGATTTATGAGACTTGGCCAACTTCCATGTCTCCGACTATATTTTTTAATTAAGACAAAGGATCCCACACCTTCCCAGTTGGCCTCACCTTCCCTTTCTTCACCAGAGGGAATGCCACACAAATTAGACCACTCGTGTCAACCGCTGGGACAGTCAACTTATGTCATAGGTCCTCTGTCCTTGAGTCGAAAACAAACTCCTCTTCTTCTCAGGAACAATCATTTTATTTCTTCCCAGATGGCACGGACAGAGGTGCGTGCAATAGAACATATGTTTAGGTTGTGTATCTAGGAGAGCCCGAAGAGGTCAGGCAAGCAGCCTGTGCGATTTTAATAAAGAACTGTCTGGAGGCAGAGAGCATCGGGCTAGAGGCACGCGCACATTTCCACTGATGACTAAGCCTCCTGTTTCCACCTAGCAATGCACAGACTGACCTTGAACACCAGTGTTTCCATGATGTCATTTCCATTCTGCGCCATCAGGAAACCGTATAGATCAGGAGTTGCATTTCTTTACCTAAATACAGACTCTTTACCAGGTGTCTTCAGACTTGAGAAACGGGTGGGAAAAAAAAATAGGATGTCACTCGAAGGGATTTTCAACTCATTTGCCTAAGGTGTGATATTTTCGGTCTGTCTATTTTTTGTTTTGTTTTTTTTTTTTAAAAAAAAAAACTTTCAGTGATGTTTACTTTGTAAGAAGGAGAGGTTGCTGATTCCAAGTGTGGGGTTGGTCTGGGAGACCGGGTTCATCTGAGTCCCGGGTGTGTATAGCACCGACTTGGCGTGACAGATCCAAGCGCACGAGCTCGCTTGCTAGTCTGAGGTCTCCCACACTGGTTTCACTCCCTGCTCTGAGCGCCATTCCTTAGCCCGTCCCTTTAAGTACAGGTTGGCTTCCTGCAACCTTGAAACAGCCTTGGGTCACAGACACTCACCTTTTAAGCGTCACTCGGCCACTGTTGAAGACGCAGAGGCTTGCCCTCTTCCTTCACATTCTGTCCATCATCTTCTCCCATCTGCTCCTTCACACCTCTCTCTCCTCCTCCCTTGATCACCCTGACCCTTCTGCAGGGGGAGAAACTCCTGCCCCCAACTCCATCCTGCTAGCGAGCCTCACTTGAAGCTTATGTGGGCACCTCAGAGGCAGTGTAGTTTAGAGAATAGAGTCACTAAGCTCAGGAGCCCACAGCACCAGGCCTACTTTGAGTCGCCCTTGTGGTTGCCTGTCCGTTTCCCTCTCAAGATTTCTTCTGGTCCAAGACAAGTAGGTGAAAACAGGAACAGACCGAAGGCCCCTCCTCCCAAGCTGCCTCCTGTTGCTGTTGCTTCTCCTGCTGGCCCGGCTTCTCTAGTCCACTTGGTTAGAAACAAACATTTGGATGTGGGAGAAAAATCAAGCTTTCCCAAGATGTTCTGGAATGCATGCACCTCTCTGTATTTTGTGTTTTCCCTGGTGTTTCTTCAGACTGCATGACCTCAGTAACTGAGAGAGAGGTCTGTGGTGTTTTTACAGAATCTTCGAGATATTTGAGCAGGCCTCATCAAAGGAGCTTTACTGAACAAAACCGTGTGCTCAGTTCATATCTACCAAAACTACTTTGTGATTTTTTTTTTCAAGAGATTGAGGTTTCTTTCATGTCACCTATGAGAGGCCACCATGTGGGTGTGACAGGAATGTGTAGGATTTTTTTGTGGATACGTGTAGAAAAACAGTAGGTCGTTTTGAACATGCTTGATCAGCTGTCCATTGTGTGTTCACACTAGTGTACTTTGGAGTTTATCTGTAGTAAATTTCGTGTGTGTGTGTGTGTGTGTGTGTGTGTGTGTGTGTGTGTGTGTGTAGCTGAGAATTTCAATAATGTATTTTGACCATATTCATCTCCCTCCCTCAACTCCTCCCAAGACCATCCACCTCCTTTACCCACTCAAATTTATGCCCTCCCACTAAAATGCATCAAGTCAAATTTGCGCTGCCCAAACATTCCTGGAACTGTGGCCTCACACTGAAAGGTGGGCAACTTATGAGGGTCTGCACCCTTAGACTTTTCCTCTCCCAGCAGCTATCAGTTGCCAATAGCTCCTTGGCTACGGGTTGGGACTCTGTGCCCAACTCCCCTCTCCATGTTGGGATTTGGCCTGGGTTTGCACAGGGCTTGTGCATGCTGTCACAACCGCCGTGAGCTCCTGTGTGCAGCTGTGCTGCTGGGTCCAGAAGACACGGTTTGACGGCCGTCATCCACTCTCCGGCTCTTACAATCTTTCTGTAGCCTCTGATACAGTGAGCTCTGAGCCTTGAAAGGAGGAAGTGTAGTCTAGATGTGCCATTCAGGGCTGAGCATTCCAAAGACTCTAATTCTGTGCACTTTGGTCAGTTATGGGTCCCTGTGTTAATCACCGTCTACTGTGAAATAGAAGCTTCTCTGATGAAGGTTGAGGATGCATTGGTCGATATGTTTAATGGTAAGTCATTAGGAGTCAAATTAATACTGTGACCATTTAGCAGAATAATAATAGTCAATTCTCACCTAGTGCCTATGACCTGTGTAGCCATAGTCTCTTGGCCCAATAGCAGGCCAAGTATGGGTTTCAATTTATGGAGCAGGGCTTAGATCCAATCAGAAAGTGGTTGGTTACTTCCATAATGTTCCTGACACTGGTGCACCATTGGTGTGGCTTGCCAAGCTAATCATCACTGTAGATCACAAGGTTCATAGCCAGATAACATTGATGATTTCTTTTCTCTCCAAGAGTGTGTATAGAACCTTTCAGAATGATAACATCCAGCCAGTAGGGATGAAGCTTCCATGTTAGTGCCAACTTGACTTCTCCATATTTATATTCATAGGTGTGGTTGGTGTCTTTAGCAACAGGGTCTTACTGTTGAGCTCTGGAGTTTGTCCAAGAGTATTGGAGACAGCCTGTAATATTTGAGGTCCATGGGACCTCACTGGCCAAAAACTCCAAAACAAGTAACCCATTCCTGGCATTTGAAAGACAGTGTGTCTAGTTGGGGCATTGTCACCCTGTTTTGGAGTAACTATTTTAACTCATTTTATGAATATATATATGGGGGAGTGCACATGCGTACATACATATGCACGCATACACACGTGCGCGCACACACACACACACACGAAGTTTCTGGAGTAGTAGGTTTCTATATGAGTTCTTAGAAAGGTCCCTAGTGTTATTTATCCTTCCCGATATTTCCTCCTCCACCCTGCCCCCTCTTCTCCCACCCCAATTTAAACACTTCCTATTCATCATTCCCTTTTATAAATTTAAAAATTCAATTTCACCTCCTGAAAATTTGTTGGAGGCCAAAAGCGACAACAACACCCAAACCACAAATATTTACTTGGTGGAGACTGGCCAAGAAGGTGATGTCCCCAGGGTAATGCTCATTCACTGCACTTGGGATGTACCAATCCTTCTAATTTCTCTGAATTTGGGAAACTTGACTGTATAATTTGTGGTAGTGGAGGAGTGCATTTTCAACACACACACACACACACACACACACACACACACACACACACACACACACACACACACGGGGAGGGTGGACCAAAGATAATGTTACATTTCCATGCATGTTGTTGAATCCTACTCTGTCGATCATTACCGAAACCAGAGGACAAGTGCTTTAACTAACCTGGGAAGGTGTTCCGTACACGGACCTCCAAGAAGATAGAAGAGACAAGCACAGAGAAGCGTACAGCTACACCGAATTCAAATTCCCCTGGAAGAAACAGAAGTGGTGGGCGGGGCTCAAGATGGCCAAAGCCGGAGCCTCTGCCCATGAGCAGAATAAGTAAAAGGGGCAGGAAAGTCAAGACCTCTGGGTCCTTTAGCTGCTCCCTGGTGCAGCCACTAGGTAAGAGAACCTACAGATAAGTCCTGCTCCCACTGCCCCCCAGCCAGAGCCTTAAGAGCACAGACAGGGGCCGGGCGGTGGTGGCGCACTCCTTTAATCCCAGCACTCGGGAGGCAGAGCCAGGCGGATCTCTGTGAGTTCGAGGCCAGCCTGGGCTACCAAGTGAGTCCCAGGAAAGGCGCAAAGCTACACAGAGAAACCCTGTCTCGAAAAACCAAAAAAAAAAAAAAAAAAAAAAAAAGAGCACAGACAGGAAGCTAGCCTTTGATGGACACAAGACAGTTATGGCTGGCTTGGGGTTCTGTCCTCCTGGTTGTCAGTCACATTCCACGTGCCAGAACAAGGAGAAGGGGCAGCTGGTGAAACTAGAACATGATGGTCCAAATGCAGACTGTCGCTGTGAGATCCATCAGGCCTCCCTTCTACTGCCTGCTAACGGGCTGTGCCACAGCTGCTTCTTCTGATGAAGGACAAAGGCCCTGCCTTCTACCGCTTCATCCAGGCACAGCATAGTTTCTTACCCACCTGAGGGTGCCATGAGGCAGAGGAGAGGGACTCTGTGTCTCAGTGTTTCCCGTATGCCAAGGATCAAGACTAGTAGTGATTTGTTCAGGGCTGTTCTTACTACTTCAGCCTTGAGAGGACTGGGAATGGGGCACTGAGTGGAGAGACGGAGGTGGGAGGGCCTTGCTGCCTTCTCCCACCGCTGTCCGAACAGAGAGAATACTCAGATTCCATAAACCACTCACTTGTCCTCACTGCCGTTTATTGCCTGCTCTTGCTCACCTGCCTCTCTCTCTACCCGTTTGGGGTCTTGACTATGT